ACACACAGACACTGGAGGAGCTGGGACAGCACATAGTTTCACACCCTCTATACCAGTTCCTGCAGCTCTGCTATATACCATAGGAGGCTGAGTGCACTACAGAGGACAATGGTCAAAGCTCCTAGTATTGATCTCTTCCCAGCAACCTCTTTCAGATCAAAAAGTACATTACAAGTGGTGAAAACAGACACGCTTAGTGGATATTTGCTTATAGGTAGGTGCCTACTTTGCATAATTGCACATTTGGAATTATGCCTAGTGCCTACCTCCATCAGACTCTCCCCTAGTCGTCAACCATTTAAGAAGTCCCTCAAAATCCATCTCTTCAGAAAAGCTAATGCCTACCAGAGTAACTTATTTCACAAACCTATCTCTTGCTCCCTCTTAAAGGGCAACACTCCACTCTCACATTCCAGTTTATTTTTCCACCTTGTCACTGAATTGCTATCCCCTTTGATGCCCTTCAATTTGTGTTTTTATTCTCCACCTCCTCTAGATTGTAAGCTGGTTTGAGCAGGCTCCTCACCAACTCATTGTTCCTGTAACATTTTGTAATTGTCTCACTTATTGTTTATTTGCTCATAGTATAATATTGTAAAGCTCCATGGAATTAGTTGGTGCTATATAAATGCTAATAATAATAATACCCTTCTGATAGTGGCCCTGCTGCCATGGAATCCTCTGCTTATAGGCAATGTCTCCCCATCTCTCCCCCCTGGTTTCAGCTCAGTCTCTCCTTCCCAGCTCCACCCCCCTTTCAGCCCTGCATATTCCTCTCCATCCCAGCTCCATCTCCCTCTCCATCCCAGCTCCATCTCCCTCTCTTCCCTCCTCCTCATCTCACCTCTCAACTCCATCTTCCCCTTTCCCTCCCATGTATGTGCAGCAGTGCAAGGAGCAGCTGGCTCCTGTCACTCCTCATATCTCCTAATAATGGGCAGCACTCTGCTGCCTGTCGCAAGCTACAGTATGTGTTCTCCCATTAGGAGAGTAACATGGCCGCGAAGCCCCAGTGAGCCTGAGGCCTTGGGCAACTGCCTAAATCGCCTAATTAGATAGCTGCCTATGTGTTCAAGTATAAACATTGGGGGCCAAAAGACTGTAGGAAGAAGTCGTTGGAGAAAGGACTCAATGTTAGAAACATGAACCAGAAGACCCAGACCACACTGTGGCGGACCTTGCCACCTATTTTGTATGTTTTCCCCTCATTGTGTGTGATTTACCTTTTTCCCATTCAGTAGTACTTCATACAAACAATATCCATTTGTCTCCCAAACGAGGACCGCCCCTGTACCCCATTAGAATGTTCAGACCAGCAACTTAAGGGCAAAACCGCAAGGAAAGTACTTAATGAATGCTACCCCTGGGTGGCCGCCATTTCATATAAACGAATGCAGAATGGTGGACATCTTGTCTCCCGAACGTGGGCAGCAGTACTTGATTGTTAAGTGCCTGGAACTTTTTTCGGCTAGGTACTCGCTTGAACGCTGGTAAAACTTAGACCGCTGCCCGTTCTATTACCCGACCACTTATACGAACAACGTTCGGGAGATATGAACTACCGAACAGGGGGAGCGTTTGTATCCTGAAATTAAGAGATTTCCTTGCTTGGTGTTCACACAGGAACCCCACGAACAGAGACTGGCCAACTATTCTCCTGGAACTGTTTTAGGCTGGCGCCTCGTGTCTGGCTGGTCAAAACTTTGGCATTCCCATTCCACCAAACCGATCTGAGTGATCTTTGGATATGTTATACACTCAGATCGGGGCTATCCGGGGATGTTTTTGTGGGGTTCCCAAGTATGGTGGGGACACTTTGGGGGTACAATATTTTTTTATGGATTTTCTGTACCTGAGAGATAATTAAATTAAATGTTTCTTCTTACGCAATTATCTCTCAGGCACAGAGGATCTTGATTGAAACCCCTGTTTTATTGCATTGTAGCTACGAGGACTAAACAGCAGAGATACCTATGCTACGTATTGGAGCTCCGCTACACCCACTATTAGAAACCATGAGACACAATGTAAATTGTGTGCATTAAGACATTTATTATTTCTACAGATACAAGTGACTATTCTATAGGACAGTAACCTTCCATGCCCCAGATTCAACATGCAATAGAATAAAAAATATTTTTTCAAAACGTCAAACAAATTGGAGTCAGAAAGAAAAATATAATTATTTTTTTCTAATATGTTTGTGTTTATTATAACTGTGTATTTAGTTAATGGAGAAGTACCATTGTTTACATTCTTTAAATGTTAGTTGAGGTTAGTGGCTATGCTAGATTAGTAGTATACCTGATTGGCCATGTTTTAGAATATATTTTCTTAACCCTAAGATGAAGATCTGTACATCTCTTTACCCTTTAAACATAAAATGCTATTGTAATAGCATGTAGTGGGAAGCATGTTATGAATACCAAGATATGCATGTGCTTTGCTAAACTGCTTAAGTATGGGAGAAGTAGTGTCTATGCATCAGGAAATTGAAATTTAAAATTTTTCCTCGCACACTTATTTGATGAGAGTTGGGCTGGTGACAGGTGAAGCAGAAAGTCATTTTTCAAGTTAAATGCCAAGTGGTTATATAGCAAAATATTCAGTTAAAGTTAACCAGCTCAATGCTGCTCTGACATATAGCATTTTAATGAAATAATTTCAAATACGAAAATGGGAGCACAGATTTCACAATGGGCTTAGTAATGCTGACAGTCTTCTCACAATTTAAACTATTGGATGAAAATAAAAGATAAATGCCAGTTAATATTGCTTTGGCTCAGGGAAACATTTACAATTTTAGAAAGAGAAGGGAAAAAAAAGGAAACCAGAAAAAAATGTATTGTAGTTTGTAAGAGAGACAGGAATGTGGAATGAGTAGCCTGTCTTGCTCCCTAGGGGATAAAAGTAAAGAAAAAAAATACATATATAGCCAGAAACATACTACTCAGCATATGTGAGGTTTTAGAACTTGCAACTATTTAGTATTTGCCCAGGGTAGTGATGGACAACTTTGGCACACAAGATGTTTGTAAATTATATTTCCTATAATGCCAAGCTGTATCTGAGTTGAGAAAGTTAGACATTCTTGTACCACTGTCCCAGAGAAAAAAAACATAAAACTTCACATATTTTAGGGTTACATAATCATCTGTGCTGCTTGTGCAAAGTATGGTATAGTCGTTTGGAGACTATTTTACTCGTATACTTTTTTATTCAATGGAAATGTAATGAATTCAAATATTCTAACACAGCACTGTGCACGCCATCTTGAAATACAGCTATAACAGGTAGAAATGGATCATGTTTATCAGCACGTCTGAACACAGCTTATCACACAAAGTGGCAAATGTTTCAGTGTAGCATTTGATCAAAACATCACGAGAAATAAATCAGTCATTCAGTGGAGATTGATTTTTATTTTCCAGGTGCAGTTCTTCATTCAATATGTTTTATAGAAAGATGATTAATGCATTGATGTTGTGGCTCTTGTTTGGAAACGCACTGAAAAATACAGCACATGATATCCAACCGTGCTTGGTTTCATCAATATGATTTCTGTATTCACTAGTATGGGCTTACTTGCTTGCTTTAAAACTAAGGAAACCGAGACGGGTCAAATAGCTATTGTACACAAATCATGTCAATCTCTATATCCAAATTTTAAAAAAGTGTTAATTTTCCAATACCTGCCAAATTTGCATAGGATTACGTGCTTGCTTGGTGTAGAGACGCAGAAGGCCAGTGGTCCAATTGAAATTGGAACACAGAAAAATTACTCCACTTGCAAATCCATCTCCCTCAGAAAGCTGGTAGGGTAGCTGATAACTTTTATTAGCTTCTCTAGCTCGGCACATTAAATTAGAAAGAGAACACGTCTATGGTTTGTAGTGTAGCGTACGTAGGAGGGGAAGAAGACACAACAGTGACCAATAGTGTGGTTGCCGTCCCTGTATGCCTGCACAGTATACAACTCTATCCCCACAGAACAAGACTGTGCTCGCAATGCATGCATGTGCCACAACGATGCAGTACTATGTAATGCAACTATATAATGATCGAATAATTAATGGCCTTTCCTTAATCAAAGGAAGAGTGATTTTATAAGTCCACTGTTCCTAAGCCTCAATACCCTTGCATCATGCATAGTCTTGCTGCTAGGTTGATGTTGATTTACCATCCATCCTGGCTAGTTTGTGTTTTGTCTTGTATCTGCCGGTATAGACTTCTGCTTGTTTATTAATTACCCTATCTGCAGTATGTACTAACCATGTCTTCCTTATGGACCTGTCCAGCCTCCAAACTCCTCGCAAAACGGTCTGACTTCATTCTGTGCTCTCTGGTCTGAGTGGCTAAGTAAACCATCTGCAAGTCCCCTGGGCACTCCTCAACCTAACTTGGAAGGCAGAAAGAGCAAAAGCTTCACTCTGGTCTGAAAAAAATACATTTGTTAGCCCAGTATCCTAGTCAGTATCATAATTTGCCTAGAGCATTGTAAGCAATGGGAGATCAGAAGATGTTTACTCCCGTGCAGATTGGTATCACCAATAGATATCAAAGGCAGGCTGAGGACAACCAAAAAAAAGTTTTATAAGAGCTGTTTCAACAAGGCATAACGGCAATATTCGTTTATAAAAATAAAAATTCATTAAGTGCCCAAATTGCAAGAGCCATTGCAGAGCAGTGATTATTTTCCAACAACCGACTTAGACAGCTTAAAAACAAAAACAAAAAAAATGCAAAACAAAACAATAAATACATAGAGAGGGAGAAAGAAAAATAAATACTTAGTATAGCTGTCTGTGTTCAGCTAAGTGCCTGCATTTGAATTAGAATAAAAACAAGCAAGCAGATCAAGAACAGCATGATGTCATTTAAAGGACTTGCACTACAATATATGCCATTGCCCACAGCTACACCTACCAATCACCCAGTTTATATTTTAGGTCCTGACACAAGAACTCTATGTACTTGATATTTCAGTGTTCCATGTCAGTGCTTGACTGTGGAGGTGAATATCAGTCCTATTTTAATCTGTTGGAAAATAGCTGCAGGTGACATGACTTTCATGTAGGTTCCAATGTGTACATATACAAATAATTGAGGCTCTTGACCCTGTCTATGAACATACAACTGTAAGTACAAATTTGACATTTGGAATCTTGATACCCCTTGTAGCCTTTCCTGTACTTATTTTCTGTTTCAATAATCCGTTGGAGGGAGAGAAAAAAATAATAATGGAACGAAAGGGAGCATGAATGATTAATGCTGTCAAGCTAAAATAACGTATTTAGAAAAATCCATAAATCTGTTATTTGTGGCATTTGAGAAACTGAGCAGCATGCTCATTGGTCCCGTCAGGTAATATTACAGGGAACTTGATGTAAATGTAATATTGCATATTAACCCTCTGGCTGCTACAATGTTCAGAGCAATATGTGTTTCGCAAATATTCTGATTAAAATATGTATGACAAAGACCGGTGCTATAGGTTAAATACAGGCAAATGGCACTGCTGAAGCCTTGATGTCCAAGCACGGCAAATGCATTTGCAGCCTTTTTGACTGTTTTCACTTTATAATATATTCATTTAATAGGTTGCAGGATAGCAATATTTATAAAACACACATGCGGTTCAAAACATTTCATGTTTATTGAGAGGCAGATTCCTTTTAGTCAACAGACTTCCATTTTGACATTGCAGATGTTTTTGGTCTTCAGATAGCAACTCCACCAATAAATCTCCAGACACCATCTTCACCATTTTATGTTCATATCAACTCTACATTTGGTTGTAATCTTAGACTTAATGAGAAGAATACGACTAGTCAGATAAGAGGAGGAATTGACTTTCACATACAGCAGGAGATTCACTAATGTTCAGAAAATGAGCACTTTTCTCACAGATAAAAAAAGTAGTGCGTACAAAGAATGGCCTCAGCAGAACAAGCCATGATTAAAATGGGAAAGGATGGCAAATTGGCTCTACATAACTGTAAGTTGTTTTGTTCATGAACATAAAAAGTAGCTCTAGCGTGTAAAGCAAAAAAAAAAAAAGAAAAAAAAAGGAATAGTGTTTGTGTATGGGACAGGCAGATACAGCCACAGCAGTTGCAAGTGAAAATCTTTTCTGATTTTGATGCCACAACGTCACTTCTCTTCCTCGGTTTCTTTTTATTCTCAATATTTGCCCTGCATACGTTCTCAAAGGAGGAGACAGCCTGATGAATGGTGTGTCTTCAAATCTTGTGAATGGATCTTGATGATGGTCAAGGTGACAGGCATAGAGTGATATCTTCAGGGAGCCGTTGTACCTCTTCTTTGGTGCTCCACTATTGTGGTGCCAAGTAGCGAGTTCACCATACAGCACAACCTTAGATAGGCGATGATATTTCATCCTGGAGATATGCCTTGCCCAATGCAGCTGCAACTTCAAAAGTAATGCATTAATGCTGATGGGCTTTGACAGTTTGAGAGTTTTGATGTTGGTGATGAAGTCATTCCAATGGATATTAAGGATTGTGTGGAGGCAGCTTTGGTGAACGCATTCAAAGAGTTGCAGGTGATGGCGATAGGTAACCTGTGCAAGAGAGTGGTCAGTATGACAGCTTTGTGCACACTCATCTTTGTGCTTCTCTTTAGAGGTTTGTTGTTCCAAACTCTCTTATACAGTCTGCTCAACGCTCTGTTTGACTTTGCCAGTATGCCATCTCTTTGTCGATCTTGGCATTTAAAAACAGATGAAGCACTCAAGGTAGCTGAAATGATGGACTGTCTACAGCTCTGATTCGCCAATAGTGATGCGGGGGTGATGGTAAACTTCATAAAGTGCAGGCTGGTAGTGGACTTATGTCTTCTTCAGGTTGACTTCTAGTCCAAAGAGCTCAGCAACCTCTGTGAGCAGGGAGTTAATCTCTGCAGAGCTATCACCATGTGGAAAACAATGGCAGCATCGTCCACGAAAAGCAGCTCTTTGATGATTTGTCACCATGTTGGTCTGGGCTCTTAGTCACCTCAGGTTAAACAGGCAGCCATCAGTGCAGTAACGGATGTAGACACCATCCTCTTTATCAAGCAGTCGCCCCTTTGAAGCATCAAGCTGAAAAAGATTGTGAACAGAGTTGGTGCACAAACACTGCCTTGTTTTACACCATTGCCTATAAGGAAGGGTTCCAATAGGTTGTTGCTGTGTCTGACCTGGCCATGGTGAGCTTCGTGTAGCTGAAGGATCATACTGAGGAACTTATGGGGACATCCTAGGCATTCCAAGATTTGCCACATATCTTTTCTGCTCACAGTGTTGAATGGCTGGTGAGGTGAATGAATGTCACATATATATATACACAATTGAGATCTTTCTGGAAAGTATACAGCCATGTAATATGAAAAATAAAGACATTTATTGAAGAAGATACAAGAAACATTGTACGTAGGACAATGATACCTCAGTCCCCTTAAAAGTAGGCATCATGGTACCTCAAAGAGTTCTCCCAGCGTCTCTTCCCCTGTTCAAAACACTCTGCAAAATCCTTTGTTAAAAAAATTGCCATCAACTGCCTCATCTTATTTACCTGAATCTCATCAACATTCTGAAATCTCTTTTAGTTTTGGGAAAAGCCAGAAGTCACAGGGCGCCAAATTTTTCAATAGATTCTCGACCATCTTTGAAGCATTTGTGCCACACTTTTTTTGTGCTTTACTCATTGCATCGTCGCCGAAAGCCTTCTGAATAATCTGAATAGTTTCCACAGAGGCATGTTCAAGCTTAACACAAAATTTGATGCAAATTCGCTGCTCTACTTACTCAGTGATTTGAATGCGATGGCCACACAGTGCACATGCGCGCAAACCGCTCTAGGTACATTAACAATGGCTGGACCTTTTCCGGACAGATATCACATGTGTTTGTTTAAATATATTTATGTACACACCAAAATTAAATGTTTCAAGGATCAGAGAGTATTGATCCATTTACACCATCCACCCCTCCACATTTAAAATACCTTAAAAAAATTAAAAAAATACCAGTAAGGTATTGTCATTCATGAAAAAGGGCATTCATTCTCAGAAGAGAATATCATTTTGCCTCTTTATAAATCACTGGTAAGACCACATATTGAATATGCTGTGCAATTTTGGGCACCTGTTCTAAAGAAGGATATTATGGCACTAGAAAAAGTGCGGAGGCGGGCTACAAAATCAATAAAAGGAATGGAACATATCAGCTATGAAGAAAGGTTAACAAATTTAAACCTATTTAGTTTAGAAAAACATCGCCTGAGAGGGGATATGATAACATTATACAAATATATTGTGTGGAAATCTATTCACAAACCAGACTTTACATAGGACACAAGGTCATGCGTTTAGACTGGAAGAAAGAAGATTTTGTCTAAGGCAAAGGAAAGGTTTTTTTACTGTAAGAACAATAAGGATGTGGAATTCTCTGCCTGAAGAACTGGTTTTATCAGAGTCCATACAGATGTTCAAACAACTACTAGATGCATACTTCCAAAAACAGAATATTCAAGGATTTAATCTTTCAATGTAGGGTAATAACTGCTTGATCCAAGGATAAATCTGTCTGCCATTCTGGGGTCAAGAATTATTTTTTTCTTTTCCTAGCTTGTTGCAAAATTAGAAGTGCTTCAAACTGTTTTTTTTTTTTTGCCTTCTATTGGATCAACAGCAAAAAACAAATGTGAGGAAGGCTGAACTTGATGGACACAAGTCTCTTTTCAGCTATGTAACTATGTAACTTATATTCTTATCTGTGTCTTGGGACTCTGACAGAGGATCTACAACAGCTCTACCAAAGTTAGAGAGGATGTATGAACCTCATCAAAAAGACCCCAAAAACAAACACTGTAAATAAAATTAATTTGGGAGTGTTAATGAAAGAATATGCAAGTATGTAAGTATATGTGTGTCAGTGAATGTATGTGCTTCAGTATCTGTGCAAGTGTGTGTCTGGCAGTGAGTGTATGTCAGTGCGTATCTGTCGGTGAGAGTGTGTGTCTGTCAGTGAATGTGTAAATAAAAATATTTGATTTGTAGTGATACATATATATATATATATATATATATATATACACACACACACACACACACACACACACACTATTGTCAAGCGTTTTTTAGTTCACACCTAACCTATTGTTAATTCCTGATCTCCTTGATGTTTGAAGTCTTGCTAGTTGTTTAATTTTGGCATTCCATTATTAGATAGTCAAACAGTGTACATATGCCTGCTTGCAATCACTTTTCTTTTGCCTCCTTATAGACATTTTCTTAAGCACCTTGATGGCTGGTACTACATCTACCTGTCCGTTTCTTGCTTTGCTGTCTTTCTTTGTAAGGTTCTGGTCCCACAGCATCCCAACACCAACATTATACAGATGCTTCCAATCAAATGACATTATTTATAGGTAAACGACATGACCTATGATAGACTTCAGAAAACACAAAGTGTATGCTAGAGCCACATCTGTATCATTTCCCCACGTCTGCTCCCATTACAGACAAGACAGAACATATTACATGTTCTTTATATCAGAAACACAGAAAAAATGTCTGGTTGAACACTCCAACGTGTGCAAATATTAGCATTGTTGTTCATATCCCCAGTGAAAGGATGCAAAATTAGATAGTGGGAGATTTAAAAAAAATAATAATTTTGCCAGCAAGAATATTCTCGCCTGTGGTCATGTATTCTAGAAAACTGACTCTAATTCCGCTTATATAAAATAGTGACAATACTGTACATCAAATACATTCCAATTATTTTCTACTGAGGTCTTTTAGAAATCCATGTTTCTTTGTACACGACCCTGATAACAAACAGCCTTAGTCTATTTTTGTTCATAATAGACTCTTCAGTGTCACACACAATGGAGTAATAATTTTATATTAAATTCATTGATCATCAAAAAAGGACGGTAAAAACACTGTTACGTGTCTTGCAGAAAAGTTTACACTTAGTCCTTCATAGGCAAGAGAATAGGCATCATTCTTTTATTTAATAACACTGTACAATCTTTTTGCAGGATGAAAAACTACAACATAAGCACAATGTCTTTTCTGTACTTTGGAATGGTTATAAGCACTTTTTTATATCAGGGATGTCAAACAAAGTCACCCATGACTACAAACCTAACTGTTTTCAGATTCTTCTAATTAACTGACACCCAAACAAAGATTATCTGGCTCCACACAATGTATTATGTGCCACCTTTAGATCATTCTTTGACTTCATCTCAGAGGACCACTTTTGAGACCACCTGTGTATGCAGGTCTATTGGAAACCTAATTTACTTAGAAGGTACCAACATTCCTTACTGTGCAGCACAAAGTAAATGTAGATGGTACACATTTCTCTGTGTGACTGTAAACGACATTGACCTACTCCCAAATACTTACAAATTTTATTCATCAGGGAAAAAACAAAAAGTAGATGGAGAGATGTAAACCATTTTATTGCACTAAAATGTATGCATAATATTAAAAAAACAACAACATCTTCTGAAACTCAACCAGCACCACTAATGAAAAACCGTTCAATGTAGGAAGGGTCAAACCAAATTTTCTTGGCAATCTGTGAATTTGGTGTTCCCTACCAAACTGTTATTAATCTAGTAAAAATTCCCTTAAAATCTGGCGAGTGTGAAGCCTTTTAAAAGCCAAAGATTTATAGGTCTAAAATACCAGCTCTTGGCATGTGTCTACATTTTATGGGATCCACAACCTCCCCAACGCATTTACCATTTGTAAAATTAATGTATAAAACAACTTTATACCTGATTTTCTGTAGTAGTTCTAAGGCCAAGGTCATTAATAAGATGTCAATCACATATTCCTGCCTAAGCCCTACAGTAAAGGAAAAGATTGTACAGCAAATGCTGATGCCAATCATTGATTATGGGGATGTAGTATATGCATCTGCCTCGCAATCCCACATTAATAAACTCAACACATTGTATAACGCGTTCTGCCGATTTGTGCTACAATGTAATTACAGGACTCACCATTGTGACATGCTAAAAGAACTAAACTGGCTGTCGCTGGAATCCAGACGCACCCTTTATCTTTCCAGCCTTGTATTTAAGAGCTTTTCTGGGAAACACCCACCCTACCTGAACAAAATGCTTTTCCCAGCTGTTCCCACTTCCTATAAGCTCTGATCCAGTACCAACACTTTACTTAGTCTACCTCAATACAAAAAGAAAGAAGCCAGATTCTCCTTCTTCTACAGAGCGCCGTAATTGTGGAACGACCTCCCGCACAATTTAAAATCTTCCCTAAGCCTTTGTATTTTATTGTACCCTAATGTAACAATGCAATGAATTGTGGACCCAGGACATACTTGAAAACAAGAGAAATCTCAATGTATCTTTCCTGGTAAAATATTTTATAAATAATATTCAATATCATTAATGTTAAATATATTTATGTTTCCCACTTAGAATGAAATCTATGTGGGCATTAAAGAAAACCGTTAACTTTAGAGGAATAGTTTTAACAATTTTAACTGTACCATGTAATGAACAGGTTTAATAATGACTGGGCGTTCACAGACTCTATATTACATTACATGACATGACATGCTGAGGTCACCTTATGGTCTTTAACATAGCGCTAACCAAATTACTACATGTTTTATTACACTAACATGGCTTGTTGTGTCTTTAATGAATAGGGAACAATCTACTTTTGTTTGAGAGGACAAGGTAACTATAAACATGTAGGAAATGTCCTCAGTATATCCGCCCTCGGCAGCGACCAGAACATAGAGATACGGGTCAGACAGAAGTCAATGTTCTTATCTTGATGCTGACTCTTTGGGGATTGATAAAAAATGTTTCCCCTAGATTAAATTCCAGAAATTAAAACCTGGGAAAATCATTTGTAATGATATTATATTTACAACTTTTGGTTTAATCCTGTAAGTGCCCGAGGGTTTAGAAAAACATTGTTGTGCAATTTCCAGCTCGAGATGCTCTGAATACATTCAGCAAAGTATTGCTGTGCATGCTGGGATTATACCAAACATATTTACTTGAGTATAATGACATTGAATGGGCATAGGATCTTATCATCCAGAATGCCTTGGGTGATAACATGCATCAATCAGGGGTGGCAACCTCTACTTTACATTAGCTGGATTCTACAATGACTCACATGAAGATTAGCCAACCACCATACCTAGTACAAGGCAAACAGAGGATAGGAGAAGTCGCAATGCAATGTAAAATAGTTTGAATGATAGAACTTATTCCTTGGACTAGATTCTCTGCTGTAGAAAATGAAAATAACTTGTCTCATTTATTATTCCAAATAAACTTTTATCCCACATGCAGATAAAGGATAGCTCACATTACACTGTAATTAGGTGTGTTACCCTAGAATCACGCAGACAGTTGCTCATTTTCCTGATTAATTTTGCAGCCATGGACAGACTTTCTATAAATCCCACACAAAACCCAATGGTATTGCATCCAAAATAAGCAGCTCTGGCAGACACTCAGGGCAATACCATACCTTGGGGGCTTCCATTCTTGATAAATAGGCTTGTTTCCTGTTTTAGAAACATTAGCTTTATGTATTCACATTGATATATTTATAGATGTGTTTTTAAGTATATCCATTCCAAGTTGTGCAAGGTAAATGTAAAATCACCATAAATGTTCTCAGAGTAATTGCTCCTACCTGGAACCTTTTTGAGCTAGCTGTCTAAACCACGCTATTTATCCTGGGGACTAAAAGGAAGGTCACCCCAGCAGGTGCATGTTTCTAAACTCTATTATAGTAGGTCAAAGGTCGGTATCAGAAAAGATCTGATAACATGTCCAAGTTCTTTCTACAGTTAGGTTTACCATTAAATCATGTATGTTTACAGTAACAATCCACCCTTCTCTTTCTATCTGTACCCATGCTGAATGTTTAAAATAGAAAAAAAAAAAAACATTGCCGCTATTACATCCAAACTAGAATTTCTACATTTGTGCCCCTCTATTTATATACTATCGTCAGTGTCCCAAAAAGCTTTAATACTTACCAGAGGTGACTTCTAGTAGAGTGCCCCTCTATTTATATACTATCGTCAGTGTCCCAAAAAGCTTTAATACTTACCAGAGGTGACTTCTAGTAGAGTGTTAAGGGTTAAAGAGGTATTGTGTGGTATACCCACACAATATCTCTTTAACCCTTAACCCTCCTTACCACAGCTCTTAAAAATACAGCACTCTCCTACTAATGTTCTCACCTCTATTTTTCACTTTCTCTCTCACTTCCCTCATCATTAAAATCTCTCTATCATTTTACTTACCTGTTCCTGCTAACACCATCTTCATTGCTCCATCTCTGCTCCTCTCATCTCTGTATTCATCACACACACTTTATTAATATTTATCCAGCCTTTCTCAACACACCCCTCCTAAATACCCTAAATACAAGCGCTCATCCCCAACATTTAAATCTTACTCCCACCTTCTCTTCCTTTCCATCCTACTACTCCTAGCAGCAGGTGATGTCTCTCCAAACCCTGGTCCCTCCACTACTCAGCCACCTGGTACAAACACCAGAAACCACAACAACCTAATAACCATTCCATGTAATTCTCACTATAATTCCTCTTTTAAAGCTGCCCTCTGGAATGCACGCTCCGTGTGCAGCACCTTTAAATCTACTTCCATCCATGCCCTATTTATCTCACACTCCCTAAACCTACTTGCACTAACAGAAACATGGCTCTCTCCCTCTGATACTGCTACACCTGCCTCACTGTCCTTTGGTGGTCTTCACTTTACCCACAATCCAAGACCAGCGGAGATTAAAGGTGGCGGTGTAGGTTTTCTTCTCTCACCGCACTGCTCCTTTAAAACCCTGTCCACCCCCCCCTTCCCTCTCTTTCCCATCATTTGAAATTCATTCAATTCGCCTTTTCAAACACTTCTCTGCTAACATTGCCGTAATCTATCGTCCCCCTGGTTCCCCTCTCCTCTTCCTTGAACACTTTGCTGCCTGGCTACCCTACTTCCTCTCTTCCAACATCCCATCCCTAATTCTTGGAGACTTCAATATTCCCATTAACCCACCTTTAACCCCAGCAGCCTCTAAACTACTTTCAATCACTTCCTCCCTTGGACTTTTGCAGTGGGCTAATTTTCCCACTCATGTAGCTGGCAATACCCTTAACCTTATTTTCTCTTATTCATGTACAATATCTAATATCTGCAACACCCCATTTCCTCTCTCTGATCACCACCTCTTATCGTTTGCTCTCAACTACCCCCTCACCCAACAATCTCAGCCTAACCCCCCTCAGCTCAGGAGGAACCTTAACTCTATTAACCTCCAGCAGCTGTCAGCTGACATTGATTCACAACTGCTATCCATCCCTTCCCTCTCCTGTCCCTCACTGGCCATCTCCACATATAACACTACCCTCACATCTGCCTTGAACGCTGCAGCCCCGCTCCAAACATGCATCTCAAGGAGGACACGACCCCAACCTTGGCATAATAAATCAACACGCTATCTGCAGAGTTGCTCCCGTTGTGCTGAACGCTCCTGGAGGAAGTCCCGCACCCAGGCAGACTTTCTCCATTATAGATTCATGTTGCTTTCATACAGCGCAGCCCTCGCTCTCGCCAAACAGTCATACATTTCCACTCTCATTAGTTCATGCTCCCGCAATCCCAGACGTCTCTTTAAAAACCTTTAATTCCCTTCTCCGCCCTGCTGTGGCCACCCCCCAAACTAACCTTACAGCTGATAGCTTTGCATGCTACTTTACCGACAAGATTAAACAGCTAAGGAAACAATTCTCCCCTCCTTGCCGTTCTCTTTCTCAACCACATGTAAATCTTGCTTTCCCTACCCTCCAGACTTTCTACCCGGCTACTGAACAAGAGGTGGCTGCGCTTCTCCATTCCTCTCGCCCCACCACTTGCCCGCTCGATCCTGTCCCATCTCACCTCATCAGATCTCTCTCCCCTTGTCTTGTGCCTACCCTAACACACATCTTTAACTGCTCTCTCTCTTCTGGCACTGTTCCTGCTGACCTTAAACATGCCACTGTAATACCTATCCTGAAAAAAACATCTCTTGACCCATCCTCCCCTTCTAATTATCGTCCCATATCCCTGCTCCCTTTCTCATCAAAGCTTTTGGAAAGACTTGTCTTTACCCGTGTGTCCCGCTTCCTTAATTCCAACTCTCTCCTTGACCCTCTTCAGTCTGGCTTCCGCCCTCTCCACTCTACTGAGACTGCTCTTATCAAAGTGACTAATGACCTAATCTCCGCTAAATCCAAAGGTCACTACTCCATATTAATTCTCCTTGACCTCTCTGCTGCCTTTGACACCGTTGATCATGCTCTCCTCCTTCAAACTCTTCAATCGCTCGGTCTCTGTGACTCTGTCCTCTCTTGGTTTTCCTCCTATCTCTCCCAACGCTCATTCAGTGTCTCCTTTTCCAAGGACACCTCCTCCCCTCGTCCTGTCTCGGTTGGAGTTCCCCAAGGGTCTGTCCTTGGTCCCCTTCTATTTTCTCTTTATACTGCCTCTCTTGGTAAACTTATTGCCTCTTTTGGATTCCACTACCACCTGTACGCTGATGACACTCAGATATACCTCTCCTCCCCGGACCTCTCCCCTGCTGTCCTGCAACGTGTCACTGCTTGCTTTTCTTCCATCTCTGACTGGATGTCCTCACGCTTTCTGAAACTTAACCTCTCTAAAACTGAACTCCTTGTCTTTCCTCCTCCTAATACTGATCCTCCTCTCTCGCTCTCCCTTCAAGTCAGTGATATCCACATAAGTCCATCCCTGCAAGCGCGCTGTCTTGGCGTCATACTTGACTCTGGGCTCACCTTTGAGTCTCACATCCAGTTTGTTGCCAAGTCCTGTAGGTTCCAACTCAAAAACATAGCCCGCATTTGCCCCTTTCTTACGCAAGATGCTACCAAGGAGCTTGTCCATGCTCTAGTAATTTCCCGCATGGATTACTGTAACCCTCTCCTGATTGGTCTCCCCAAAAGCCGTATTGCCCCTCTACAGTCTGTAATGAATGCTGCAGCTAGACTGATTTTCCTCTCTAGTCGGTCCTCTCACACCTCACCCCTCTGCCAGTCCTTACATTGGCTCCCTGTATGCTATAGGAGTCAATTCAAAGTGCTAACCCATACATTTAAAGCACTGAACAATTCTAGCCCCACTTATATCTCTTCACTAATCCATAGATATGCCCCTCCTCGTACCCTCCGCTCTGCCCGTGACCACCTCCTGACCGCTGCTCGCACCCGTACGGCCAACTCGCGCTTGCAGGACCTCTTGCGGGCGGCTCCTCTCCTATGGAATAGCTTGCCTACTGCCATCAGACTCTCCCCTAGTCTTCAATCATTTAAGAAGGGCCTTAAAACCCATCTCTTCAGGAAAGCTTATGGCCTCCCAGAGTAATCTCTACCTTACATACCTGTCTCCTGCTCTCTCCTATGGGACAGTGCTTTGCTCTCTCCTCCAGCTCTGCTTCACTCCTACTTGATATTCCATGTCCTAATGTTTCTAATACCCTACCTCCTATAGTCTGTAAGCTCGTTTGAGCAGGGTCCTCTTCAACCTATTGTTCCTGTAAGTTTTCTTGTAATTGTCCTATTTATTGTTACATCCCCCCTCTCAAAATATTGTAAAGCGCTACGGAATCTGTTGGCGCTATATAAATGGCAATAATAATAAGAAATGTACATCTTTGGAAGCACTCCGGTGGAGTCAAATGACACTCTGAGCCAATGTGCTAGCCTTGCACTGCTAACTCCAGGCAAGAAGTGAAATCCTTCTAAAACAGTTTGACTCCTTACAATAGAGGATTGGTGGGGGTCCAGGGCAGTTATGGCACCATAACCGTAGAGTGCTGTAGTGGTTATAGTGTTTGGAGTGTTCTTTAATTGCACTCGTATAGATGTTAATGCCTCATGCCGCTCAAAGAGGATTCTAGATTTTTTGATGGCGAACCATAATGATTTAAGGCATCCCATTTCTAACATACCATGTTAAAAAAAAAGTCTTAAAAAAATCAGTATGTGGACAGACATGTTTGTTTTTATACATGAAACTCTGATAAGTATGTAGTATAATTATTTAGGCCTTTCTCCTCTTCTGAAGGGTTTCCTACATGACAGCTCTAAGCAGATATTTATGCGGTTTATACAGTAGAACTCTCTGTACTGTATATGAAATGTAGGCACCTGAATAACTCTTTAAAGGCGCATGTCATTGCACCAGCGGTTAAAGGAACACAAATATCAGGACGTGACATCAATATCTACTTTATCACTTTACGTTTTATCCAGTATTCTTACTGCCTATTTAAATCTAAACAAAAAAAAGTGTAAACCATATAAAACATCCTCACTATATGCTTTAAAATGTAAACTACCTACTTAAATGGATTTTGTGAAGCCTCTCTTTTTGTCAATAATACACTACCTCTTGTGAATTAATTATAATAAATAATGAAAGCACATTTCCGAAACAATCATTGGCATAAAGTCAGCTTTTGTTTGAATGTTAAGATGCAAAAAATATGCACATTGCAACAGCCTCCCCATCAGTAATTAAGATAAATGCATCAATTATTAAACATGCAAACATGTCAAGCAAGCATAACTAATTATTTGAGCATGTTAACAGTTGTTTAATGTTAACAAGCAGTGAATTATTAAAGACCCAGGTGTCACATTTTGGACTACTTCAAACAGAGTGCTATAAAAAGCTTCAGAGTTTTGCAGAGATATTTTAGTCAGATAAGCAATAAAGTTATCTTTGCTTATAATAAAGACAAAGTATTCATTTACGAATAATTATGGTAACTTGCAGCAAAAGTGCCCTTAGTGTCTTTTTATTTTATTTTATTTGCAAAATAGGCTCATGGAGACTGTTTTCAGGGTATAGCTTTCCCTAGCATTGCTTTAATACAATGTTTATTTGGAAGAATGATTGGAATCCTATCTAAAAAAAGGACCACTTGGGACAACACTACAGGAAGCCACGTGTTCAAGTAGATAATCCTCACCAACTAACAAAGAGTTTACATTTTAAAAGGCAAACTTAAACAGAAGCTTTGGTAGAATTACTCATTTATAAATATTGGCAGTATGATCATGTACAGCTGTATAGTAAATCTGCAGTTAGCCATGTTATGAAAAGTTTTCAATCAACATGTCAAATGTTATTCTGTAAAGCCAACACTATGGGCACCGCTGAATATTCCAGGAGGCACACTACCTATATTATTATATTTTATGCAAAGTGTAAAAAACAAATAGATGTGGTATTTTATAATATTCTATTGTACTAGTTCATCAGTTTTACCCATGTGCCTTATTCTCTTTTTTGTTGATAGAATGGGAAGGAAGCATTTGGTATTTGTGTGTATGTATACAAGAATCCAGGTATTACAGCTAAATGTGTCTCTAAACATCGAAAAACTCAGACCCATGAAATAGGAGAGACACATCTGTGCCTGTAGTATCTTGGTCAAGTATGTAGGTATCTGGCTAGTTTATTTAGGTAAATAAATTGGTCCATGGGGTGATAGATTCTCTGGAGGTCACCTGCCTTACTAATTGTGAGAGAGAGAGAGTGAGTGAGAGAAAAAGACAGAGTAAAAGAAGAGGGGAGATTCATAGCAAGTAGAGTGATACACATGGGCGACAAAGGGCAGAGCAAATATACTTTATATCATGGAAAATAATAGAATTACAACTTGCTATGTACGAAAGAATGCAGTACAGTGGGCAAAGTAAAAAAAGATGGGATTGCAAGTATCAAAGCAGGAGAATAGTAGTTACAATATACCCAGCGAGAGGCAGGGAATTGCAGTGAGAGAGTATTGTAGCTGGCAGAGTAAATGAGAGGATATTACATCAGTGAAAGTGATTGCAACTGGCAGAGTAAGCAGAGATTGCAGTGGGCAGAGTGAGAGGGGTTTGCAGCTGCCAGAGAGAGGATTGAAGCTGGCACAGTGAATAAGAAGGTACTGCATCTGTGAAAGTAAATGCAGATGGCACAGTGACAGGGAATTACAGTAGGCAGAGTGAATGAGAGGGTATTACAGTGGATGTAATGAATGAGGAGGTATTGCTGCTGGTAGATGAATGAGAGGGTATTACAGTGGATGGGATGAATGAGGAGGGAATGCAGCTCGCAGAGCAAATGAGAGGGTTACAGTAGATGGAATGAATGAGGAGGGATTGAAGCTGGAAGAGTGAATGAGAGGGTATTACAGTGGATGAAATGAATGAGGAAGAATTGCAGCTGGCAGAGGGAATGAAAGGGTAATGCAGTGGATAGAATCAATGAGGAGGTATTGCAGCTGGCAGAGTGAATGAGAGGGTATTACAGTGGATGGAATGAATGAGGAGGTTTGCAGCTGGTAGAGCGAATGAGAGGGTTACAGTGGATGGGATGAATGAGGAGGGAATGCAGCTCGCAGAGCAAATTAGAGGGTTACAGTAGATGGAATGAATGAGGAGGGATTGAAGCTGGAAGAGTGAATGAGAGGGTATTACAGTGGATGAAATGAATGAGGAAGAATTGCAGCTGGCAGAGGGAATGAAAGGGTAATGCAGTGGATAGAATCAATGAGGAGGTATTGCAGCTGGCAGAGTGAATGAGAGGGTATTACAGTGGATGGAATGAATGAGGAGGTTTGCAGCTGGTAGAGCGAATGAGAGGGTTACAGTGGATGGGATGAATGAGGAGGGAATGCAGCTCGCAGAGCAAATTAGAGGGTTACAGTAGATGGAATGAATGAGGAGGGATTGAAGCTGGCAGAGTGAATGAGAGGGTATTACAGTGGATGAAATGAATGAGGAAGAATTGCAGCTGGCAGAGGGAATGAAAGGGTAATGCAGTGGATGGAATCAATGAGGAGGTATTGCAGCTGGCAGAGTGAATGAGAGGGTATTACAGTGGATGGAATGAATGAGGAGGTTTGCAGCTGGTAGAGCGAATGAGAGGGTTACAATAGATGGAATGAATGAGGAGGGATTGCAGCTGGCAGAGTGAATGAGCGGGTATTACAAAGGATGCAATAAATTATGAGGGATTGCAGCTGGCAGAATGAATGAGAGGGTATTACAGTGAATGGAATGAATGAGAAGGGATTGCAGCTGGTAGAGTGAATGAAATGAACGAGGAAGGATTGCAGCTGGCAGAGGGAATGAAAGGGTAATGCAGTGGATTGAGGAGGGGATTGCTGCTGGTAGAGTGAATGAAAGGGTATTACGATGGATGGAATGGATGAGGAGAGATTGTAGCTGGAAGAAGGTATTGCAATTGATGCAGCGAATGAGGAGGGATTGCAGCTGGCAGACTGAATGAGAGGGTATTAGAGTGGAGTGAATGGAATGAATGAGGAGGGATTGCAGCTGGTAGAGTGAATGAGAGGGTATTACAGTGAATGGAATGAATGAGGAGGGATTGCAGCTGATAGAGTGAATGAGAGGGCATTGCAGTGAATGGAATGAATGAGGAGAGATTACAGCTGGTAGTGAAAGAGAGTGTATTACAGTGGATGGAATGAATGAGGAGGGATTGCAGCTGACAGAGCGAATGAGACGGTATTGCAGGGGTTGCAATGAATGAGTAGGGGTTGCAGGGGCTTGTGTTTTTTTTTCTCCTTTCATTGAATCAACAGCATAAAAGCATGGCTTGAACTTGATGGACTTATGTCTTTTTTTCAAAATAGACTACCATTTAGCTATGTCATTTAAATTATTGATGTGACCTCCGGATAACTGCCTAGAGATATCGGAAGCACAGGAGAGTTATTGAGACCATATAAGTGTCATGGCCTTATTTCAATGATGATGTAATTTCCAGGGCTGGATTGATCCTCTCTGCTGCCCCAAGACCAGTTTACTCAATGTGCCCCAACCCATCATCTATATGACGCTTGGTGTATGTGATTGGATGGATATGAGCAATTTGGTTTATGTGATTGGATGGTTGAATGTAACTAGTTTGAGGTTATGACTGTATGGTAATTATGACTAGGTGGGTGACTGGATGGCAAAAAGTGCAATGTGTGTGGGATAGGTGAGTTATATGGCCAAGTGTGTGAATGTTATAGGGTGAGTGAGTGAGATGGGACTGATATATTATCGGTTAGGAGTATGTGGCTGGTTGGGTGGATGAATGGCAATGTGTACGAAGGAGCATATTTGAGTGCATGTGAATGACGGGTGTATTTGTGTAGAGTGATTGTGTGTGAATCACGTTTCTGTGATGTTTTAGCATGTATGGGTGGGTATTTAATGTGTATGCATAGGTGTATTAGTGCCACCCTTTTTGTCTCTCAATGCCCCTCTCCTTGTTCCCCTCTTCTTTCTCCCCTTCCCTCATCTGTTCCCTTATTTTTCTACTTGCCCCCCTCTTCATTCTCCCAATACCTCACTTGTTACCTTGTTACCCTCCCCTCACTTATTCTCCTTTTTTTTGTCTCTTAAAATACCAAATACAGAGCAGTGACCAGCGCACACACACAAACAAAATACAGCTTAAATTTTACAAGTCTACATAAAATCACCTACCTTAGCAAACAAATATGCGGATTCCATTACAACGTATGGCCATATTGTGTTAATGTGCCCCAATATTGGTGGGTCCTACACTAATTTTTACATTGGAGATTAACATGTTGACTGCAATACATACTGTTTTAACTAATTCCAGAGACTTTCCTCACTATATGCTTTTCTGTGGTTCCCGCCTATGGAGAACCTATCTGGGTAGGTGGGGTGCTCAGCCCAATAAGAATCTGGTCTGGATTCCAAATCTATACACGGAAGAAAATTGATTTTTGGGTGTGTGCGCTGTTCCTTTGTATGTATTTTGTATATGTGTTGGTTTTTACTGCAGCACCGCTGCATGGAGGTGCATGTTCCAGATGTGCCCCTAATTTCCTTTCGTTACCCTTAAAATACCTGCTATATTATTTTGTTCCCCTGCTCACAAAATGCGTCATCTCTTTTCTCCCCCACAGGCAGCCAGAAGTACAGGAAGTCTCGCAGGGTTATGACACTGATTTCATCTCATCACATTCTCCTGCAGTTATTTCGATTGCCTGCATTGCAGAGAAAGACTTCCACAACGGGTGCTAGGCAAGAAGGGGAAAGAGCTATTCCCCTTCTCGCCCAAGCACTCCTGCTATATCACCAAAGATAGCAGGTCCAGCAGTGTCTCCCCCCCTTACGTATTTTGTCTCGAGGCCATGGTTTAGGCAGCCTTATGGGAAGTCTGGTCCTGGTTATTTCACAATGCTTGGGGTACTTTCAGGTTATATCACACATTTTTCCTTCATGTTTGAGACTGCTAAGGAAAGAAGAAAAAAAACAAAAAACACACACACAAAATAATTTTTGAAAGGGGGTCGGAGCCAGCACCCATGCGAGTTGGACGCATCCTGCAGCAGCTCCTCAGGGAAATCCACCCAAACGTTGAATACAGGCGAAAACGGCACACTTACCAAGCCACTAACCGCCTCCTGTGTGCCTCACATCATTGGCAAGAAGGCAAAAAAATATAAAGTTGATCCTGGCTCGGGCTCCCGAGATATCGGAGCTTTCATGCGCACGACCATGCGGCCTGAACCGTGCAAGATGGCGCCGGCCGGGGCCTATACCTCGCCTTCGTCAGACGACGAGAGCCAGACGGTCACCCATTCACCTCCACCAAAGGTACCAGCGAAGCCCACGACACACATGGAGCTGGGTGACTCCGCTCCAGCCACGAAGGCCGACATAAAGGCCTTCGCTATGTTCCATGTTGACATGGCGCTGATTAGGGAGGAAATCTCCACGCTGACAGGAAGGGTGAAGATGGTGGAAGAGGACCTTAAAAATGTTGGAGTAGCCCAGACTGCCACAGATGCAGCCCTGGCATCACTGCAAAAGCAATGCAGCACCCTGACTACACAAATAGCTACTATGGAGGATAAGGCAAAGGCGCCTGAATCCGGGGGGTGCCTGAATCGGTCACTGACTGAGTTACCCCATTACTGCCGGAGGATGATAGCCACACTGCTACTACCCAAACAAGTGAAGCAAATAGGTGTGGACTCTTGTTTTCAGCTCCCCAAAGCACCTAGGGCTCTCCAGGGGGCTCCTGGGGATGTACTTGTCAAATTTATTCGGGACTCTGACCGGGGGGCTCTCATGGGAGGGGCGCACCTAACTTTTTATAGAGACATTTCCAGGCACACTCTGACATGGAGAAGGTCTCTCAGACAAATTACCCAGCAGCTTCAAGAGCACACCATCACGTATAAATGGGGGCAGAACCGACTGATGGCAGAGAAAGCAGGCGAAATGCACCTCCTAACGCACAAATCGGAAGCACCGGCTTTCCTTCGGGCCCTAGGCCTGCCAATGGAGGCGGCCCCAGCGGACAACAGCCCTTCTTGGTGTGTCGCAAACATCAACCCATTTGTGCCCAGAGGAACAAGAACGGGCACACCTGACTCACCTACCTGAAACCAGCATGGACTGCAGCCCGTGCTGCCGCTCATAGTTTTGCCTAACAATGTTTGATACTGTATTATTTTAATATACGTTAACCAATATTTTATGTACTTTTAGTTTGTATAAACATATGTCCAATACCTCTATCTGGCTCCGCAAGCTGACAGCCAGTCACCATGCCCTGTATTTACCCCCACCCCCCTCCCCTCTATTTTAATGTGCTCCTTCCCCTAATAAGCGAGCTAGCGCTCTGGGGCGCGTTATCCAGCCGACCTAGCTGGCACAACTACCTACTGGCTAACCGCCAAGTCAGAACTGGGTTCTTACATACCATATGATGACTTTTATTAATGAACTTGCACCCTAAGCAGCATTACTTTAAGACATAGCCTTATAACCTGAAACCCTTGAGGGTGCATAAGCAACTAATCAGCAACCTCCAGTTACTAGTTGGTCTAACAGCTCGTGCAGTCATTAGGAATCTAAGCTAGAAAATTACAAAACTGGGTTTCTAGTAAGCATGTGATGCTGTTGTTGTTGAACAATGTGATTTTTGATGGATACCTTTACTGCACACAATGTAACCTTGTTGATCTTGATTACCCGCAAAAATAAAGAATATAAAAAAAATAATTTTTGAAACTTTAATCTGCCATCTTTGTGTAATATACTGTCTGTATATGCAGTGTCTCTATATAATTAAATTTTATATTTTTGTCGTATTTTACTGTGGGAAATGATCCCCCACTTGTTGCATTTATTTCCTACGTGTTGGAGTCTGTATTTTGAATGTAACATTTTAAAATATTATACAATATTTACATACACAAACGAAACATTTGGCACAGAGCAAAAATCTAAATGAATATAAAAAAGCATGCACTGTATTGTGATCTTTACAGAACACCTAGCAACACTACTTATTTTACATCTATCAAAAGTGCATGAAGTCTGAACCTTTGGTGTATTTTTTCTAAATGGCTACATTAGATCAAATTAGGAAATGCACCTTGCTCAAACTCGTTCAAATAAACTTCACTCTGAATCAATCTATTTCACAGTGTTTAGGTCAATCTATAATAAGAGCTTGTCAGTGGACGTCTGATTAGCATTGCATTACATGACTGTAAAACCTGACCTCAGGCTTTATGTTGTGAGAGTAAAGTATGGTGAAATATAGAGATAGAGAAAAACCTATCAGGGAGAAAGAAGGTGTCAGGTTACTCTGAGATAGGGGGGGATAACCCCCAGGATCAATGAACTGAAGAATAGAGAGAAGAAACAAAAGGGTGAACCATTAAGTAGGTGAACGCTTCTGAAGTACGAGTAACCCAGATAAAACGTAACTTAATTAGTATAGTGTAAAAAATTGAATGTAATAAATAATACGAATAAGCAGAGTCAATATAGCTTCTGCTTAGATATGAGTAAATAAAGCTCCTAAATCACATAAGGAAAAAAATAAAATAATAAAGAAATGCAACCCTATTGCTTGGATAACATAAAAAAATAAAGAAAGAAATAATAAGACTTCAATAATATCACTCTGTGAGTCAGTGGTAGTAAGAAGCAAAAGGAAATACTGCAAAAAGTAGATACAAAATAACAGCAAATGTAACTGCTAGCAAATATAACAAATGCTGCTAGTCTAATGAATAGAGAGGAGAGAAAAAGATAAATGCGTTTTTAGCAGAACGGCAAGCCCTGCAAAAGATCGTATATATAGGAAGGAGAGAAAGCTAAAAGTGGAGAGACTAGCTTCCCTACTCTGCTGTGCCTTCGAGGTATGCAGTAATGCAGTATGTTAAGAAATCACAGAACAACAACTGGAATAAAGAATAGAAGAAAAAGTACAAATGAAATAAATACATTTTCTCATTTGATGTGATCTGTGAACCAATGGACAATGAACAAGTGGTGGGAACATTTTCCTATTAGTGTGCTGCAAAATATAAAACTGATATTTATAGTATGTATATATTTTGCAGTACACTCATTGGCCCATTTTTGCGCCTTTTTGGTTTCCTTATTCATTTCCCGGATTGTTTTTGTGTTACCAAAAATATGACAAGCACACAAATGGCTAAAATTTGGCATGTGCGAGAGTAAAGCAGTGACGTCAGTGCAGACAGATCAAGATGGTGAGGGACAAAGTTCAGGTAAGTAAATCCTACCTTTACCTGCCCTCCCTGTTCACTGGACCCCCAGGGAAAAAAGTCCCCGACATCAGGATGTTTAAGCATGATTTCTACAGAGGGCTCATGTGTTCTGCTTGAGCAACATGCTATTTACTCAATGTAATTTACATATGGATATTTCACAATTTGTCCCATTCTAGAGGCAACTGTCTAAGGTTTTGTAGATTAATGAATAATATAATTAATGTCCATCCAGATTTTCTTCTGTGCGTGACATTTGGGAGCAGTGCTGGACACTATCATAGGAGGATACCACAAACTCTCATTGAGCCAGCTGAGATATTTAGCATCTCTCTCTCATTGTGTCTTGGACGATTTAGTCATATGCAAATTACCTTTAAGTTGTCATCTTAAGTGTTATAAAGATTTTCTGTGCTTAGATCTTCCAATTAGAGTTATCTGCTATGCTACTCTGATATGACATGTTTCATATACCAGCTGTACATGTTTCTCTTTTTCCCTTTAGTTCCAGATATGGTGGTATACTTGATCAGATTTGAGATACTCGTTCCGGTCTGTGTTCTTTTGATGGCTTTGTGGTATAGGTGTCAGGATTACTAATTGATCCAGCACGTAGAATTGTATCACATCTAGGAATAAAAGGTAACGTGTCTTACCGGGTCTTATAATGGCCGGACTTAACGTACCCAAGAATAGTCAGAATGCTCGCCGAGGTCAGGAACACAGAAGGAGACACAACGGACAGGAAAGCCAAAAGTCAGGGATACCAGAATACAGCGGAGTCCAAACGAAGCCAAAGTCAAGAACCAGAAATAAACGCTCAGGAGCACATTCTCGGACAACCACTAAGGGAAACCGCGACAGGGCAATGAGGAAAAGTAAAATTGCGTTTAAATAAGCGCTTAACATTTTTTTACCTTGAGCGGACGCAGCAGCCGGCGTCCAACATGCCGCTGGAGTCAGGTACACAGACACGTGGCCGCTGAACGCTGCGGGTGAGGATGAATTTGTTACAATAGGTTCCGTTGAAAAGTATTAGTAAATCCTAGTGAGGTGAGGTTGCCTGTTTGGGGTGACTGCCAAGTAGCTACCTTGTATACCACTTTCTATGTAGACTTAAGTGATCTTTGATCTCCTGTAGGACAATCCAATGGTCAACTTCACAGTGTAAGATGCCAGCCGTTGTTATTATTGCTGCATAGAATTTTATGCAACCAGACCTATTTGCAGGCCCTCCATATTAACAGATACAAAGATACAAAAAAATGCCAAAGCAAAACAATAACATAGTGCTGTATAATCAAATGCTAAGATTTATATCACTTATTGTACTGTTTTTTGTTTCAGCTTTCAGCCTTTTGATATCAAAAGTGAGAATAAAAAGCTTTTATGTTCCCAGAAAGTATCAAACAGATGTGATAAACTGAGAAAGTATGCAAAATTAAGATCTGATAAAGCTTTCAGATTTCCACTACGATCTAGATTGAAGTTATAACTCTTGAGCTCAAATCAATATCCCTGTAATGGAAGTACTAGTGTCCTGACGTCTATATTTCCCTAGCAGTCCACCTAAAATGTTGTTTTGTTGCATTTATATACAATGTATGTACTTATGATATATATATAAATATATATATATACACATACACACACACACACATAGGCCTGTGAGAGTCTAGTGATTTACGTATGTCACATACAGTTACAATGACTTCTAAGTGACTCCTCACTGCAGATGAAGGGAGTGATTACTGGATGGCTGTTAAAATAAAAAAAATTAAAAAACGGTTCTATTTATCTTCTGTGATATGTGCTTCAATTCTATTTATATAGATGTATATTTATTGACAGGGTGATTCCTGCTTGAGGAAGCTAAAATCCAGAATCTCGATGATGTGGGTTAAATTAACCATCACAATAACACAGGACTCTGCCATCCCTTTCGATATTCTTGCTATGCCATGGTGATTTATAGTTCATCCTGTCTCTGTTATGAATTGACAGTCACTCATTTCAAGGGTTATTTTTCCTGCCGCCAAGGTCAGCAGAGAGGGGGCTCAGTACCTCTCCCAATCCCCTGTTTTTATTCTCCTTCAACCTTCCACTAAAGTTGGCCCTCATGAATCATCCCGTCTGGGCTCTGAACTCCTCGTGATTCTCTCCCACCAAACTGGCCGACTTCCGCAATTTTTCTTCATTCTCACTAACAATTTGGTAATGAAATATTGATTTTTAGTTAGATTCAGATAGATGTTATTAAGTTTGCATTGATAAATTGTTCCTTTTCTCAGCCTGGAAGTACCTCAGTCAAATTCTAAGTGCGATTTCATACCTTGTGATGTATTCATTTGACACATGTGTCACCCACGTTGCTTGCCTCAGAATTATAAGTGGGATTATGAGCTAGAAAACATCACCGTGTTGGCTGTTGCAGACAGAAATTTAATTTGTGATACAAAACAGTTTAACAAGTTTGCTTGTGAATGGCACTGGAACTTTAAGGAAGTGGCATTTTATACCAAGTAGCAACTTATAGTAATCATCATGTAGTTTGAGGGGAAATTTGAATACATAAAAACACAACAAAACATACAAACAAAAAACACTACAAACACCATTTTAAATTGTTATTTAATATAAAACGGGAAACTAATAAAAACATTTTTTATAGTATAAACACTTCATGCAGACAGTCAAGTTCTCATTGACACACACATTTTCAAGTGTCTGAGTACATTTGTGAGAGTACGACTTCTTAGTAACATATGTATTTCTTAACTAAATAAAACAAAATGAAAATTAAAAGAAAACCTTAGTGCCAAGATAAATTATGATCTGTGGACTACATTTCCCAAGATACTCAGCCAATAAAAACACACAAATTAACCCTTAAAGGACCACTCTAGGCACCCAGACCACTTCAGCTTAATGAAGTGGTCTGGGTGCCAGGTCCTTCTAGGGTTAACCCATTTTTTCATAATTATAGCAGTTTCAGAGAAACTGCTATAATTATGAATGGGTTAAGCCTTCCCCCTAATCCTCTAGTGGCTGTCTCATTGACAGCCACTAGAAGCGCTTATGCTTCTCACTGTGATTTTCTACAGTGGAAACGCGCGTCTAAAAGCATTGTAAATGCTTCCTATGCGACGCAGTTGAACGCTGCCGCTCTCGGCCGCTGCGCATTCACGCGAAGGACCCGGAGGCGGAGGAGGGGAGGAGAGCTCTCCGCCCAGCGCTGGAAAAGGTAAGTTTTACCCCCTTTCACCCTTCCAGAGCCGGGCGGGAGGGGGTCCCTGAGGGTGGGGGCACCCTCAGGGCACTATAGTGCCAGGAAAACGAGTATGTTTTCCTGGCACTATAGTGGTCCTTTAACAGCCTGCATATAGGGTAGGCAGCAACACTGCGACATGATTTTGTAATACAAAAACAAACAAAAAGCTACACATTA